TAGCAGATTGATAAGATCGTGTACTAAACAGACTTTTGCAAGTATGTTGAAAGACCCGAAAGAATAGGACTGCTCTTCACAAAGAGTAAATCCATTTAGAAATCACTTTGCCTTCAAGACATGAGATTTCCCAGTTTGTTTCCTGGAAGAAAAATTCAAAGCAGAAACACATTGCCCTACGAGTTTTTTTTTTTTTTAGTCCAAAGGGGCTTTGTCCCTGAAGGACTATTGTTTTCGTTTTGCGATTTTGCGTCGGACTCATAAACGTCGGTTCACTTTTCAAACTGTTGCCACAAAATGTTAGAGTCCTGCATTATATTTGAAGAAATTAAATAATGAAAAATCTGCATAAATGATTGTCTATTTCTCGCATTGTGATAAAACAATGGTACATAGAGCCATCGAATTTTGAATGACGAAATCCTACTGCGAATATGGGCATCTTAAATCCAAATTTGGAATTTGTTTTATTATAGATTTTATTTTTTTAAAAACTTTAACGAATTTTTTGATTTTACAAACTCAATGCTTTAAAAGCGAGAAATGGCAACGTTATATAGAAAAAAAATCTTTATCTCCAGCTCGCGAGACTGTGTATATCGGAAATTCTAAAGATATGCTTAATTTAACATTATTTTGCGAATTTTGCTCTTGAACTGAATTTTATGGTTTAAGTGCAAAGAACATGATATTTAATAAATAAAGGTAACACTCAAAACGTTAAAAAAACGCCCCTTTGGACGTAATTTAAAATCTGAAACATTTCAGATTTTTTTTTTTTAATCTCTTCAAAAGTGTATGGAAAATGGAAATTTTAATCAAAAGACGTGTAGCATAAATTATTTAAAGGCACGTGAGTATTTCTTTCGGGAACGATATCGTGAGATAACATTCCAATGTTTGCAATTTAATGAAAGATACGGATAGCTAAAATGGGAAGCTTAAATTGAATTAAAAAGGACACGAATAGAATGTCAATTTTGAGATTTGAGATAGTATATACTCCACTAAAAGTTAATAGTAAAAAAATTTTAAAATTTAAATTCAAAAATTTGTTATGCTTTATTTGGATATCATATGATGTCATTTAAGTGTATAACACGTTCCTATTGAATTGAAATGTTTCACGGGACCATGAAAACGCCCCTGCAATTACTTGGATTGCATGGACCTGTTCACTTAAAGTAGAACTCAGGTCCAACTAACAGTGTTTAGCTGATTTTCAGCTCGGCCACTAGTGGGCCACTCTGTGTATTAAGCTATTTTTTTCTTTAAACCTGCTGCCGATTTTACAGGAATTTTGGCACCAATTCAAAAAGTTGCTGTAACGTTATGTTCTGCTTTTATAGTCGCTGAGTGGCTAAGACCGTTGAATACTGATAGTTCGAACTGGGTTCAAAAGTAAGCAAACGAGCTGGCTGCATGTTTATTTTTGCAATCTTCCCCATGCATGACGTAAATACAAGTCAGTTTCCCTTAGAAACTCCTCCACGTATGCATCCGTACCCATCGGCAGATTGCACTAGGTTGTCTAGTCACATTGAAATAGCTTTCGGATTATGACAAAAATATGAGGGCGCTGTCCAGATTCAGTCCTTTCCCAATAGAGCGGTGACAATTTTTTTCTCACTTCAGCCCGAAACTGAAATATTTTTGACATTCTCTATCACCTCAGCCCACTCCTCGTACAAATATAAAGCAGGGGGTTCGTATAAATTTCATCCTCCAATTATAAATCATGCTATGGACTATATGTAATGGACTATATTTATGGTAATGTAATGGACTATATTTGCGTTTGTCTTTTTTTAGGATTAAAATTTAAAGCCAGCTTTACTCTTGCTAGCTTGCACAAGAGTTCTTTTAAGATAGTCACATAGGTGGAAGATAGAATATATTGAAACTGAAAGATATTCAAAAACCCTGTTTATTACCACAGATCATAAACTGAAACATGTCTTTAAAAACTGAGGTAAGTAATACTTTGAAATTGGAATATGTGTTATAAGAAATACCTAAAATAATGGAGTAAAAATATGTGTAATAAGAAATAATCCAGGGGCATATTACATCTAGGTTACTTATATAGAGTAAAATATATTAATTTTATAAAACATTAAAAGTTACTACTTAATGACTATTATTCGCAAATACTACATTTTTTCTCGTTTTTAACTTTTAATAGAGCAGGTTAAATAGTTTTCCGATATAGTGGGGTTTGAGTGTAATATAATACGAAACAAGCAGCCGAAAGTAAACATAATTATAATCCGTTGTTGTTTTATCTGTTATGATCATGTAAACAAACAGCTTTTCGATACTTTCATAATTTTCCCGCCATATTGATCTTTAAGTTTTATACTTGATTTTTTATTTATCGGATCATCAGAATATTCGTAAATTCCTTCCAGAAGTTTTCAAAAATCCGAAAACTACGTTCACTTACCTAGTTGAAGGATTCTTAAACTTTACAGGTTTAAATAATAATTTATTACTACCTATTATAACCACTTAAACAAGAATAAAAGTCGAAAGAGAACATTCCGGTTTAAAGTATATATAAAGAAGTTAAGTTCAACTTAAAATACGTAAAACAAAGCATGCAAAACGGTTGAATAGCATATAGGATATTTTAGATTAGATAATATTTATATGTATATTTCTTTTAATATTATGATATTATTTCTTGGTGAATATCTTTTAATATTATGATATTATTTCTTGGTGAATATCTTTTCCTTCATTGAATTATTTCAAGTCCCCAAATTTTGAGCTGCCTTTTTTTTGTATTTAACATGTGCCAGCTGGTTTTTGTAACATCTTTCTGGACTGGAACCAGGAATTTGTATCTCCAGCTGTGGCCATTCGAATGAGATAAAGGAACGGGATAGAAGAGGGTGAGTCATTGTTTCCTCACAGTCAAGGTCCTGCTTTCTCTTGAGGGGGATAATGGAGCTTTTGAAGGGAGTTCCTATGATAAGAATCAGGATAGTAGCATTTCATCAGTGAGTAGGAGTTAGTATAGTGGTCGTCAGCGCACTGAACTGCAAGGGAAACGCTGGACTTATGTTATTTGAAAGGTAAGTGCTTTTCGTTTGGTTCATTTCTAAGACCTATGGAAAAATGTAATGCGAATCGATTATTTTATATTGCTTTTACTTTCGTGCATTATTATGAATTTTTAAAAGTGTTTAAGATGATTTAAAAACATGTAAATTTTAAACTGTTTAAAAATCAAAGGCAGCTATTTTCTGTATCTGTACTTTTTGGTTTTCTCAAGGAAGAGTAACAGGAATTCTGTTTCATAACTCGTATCGTTACGGATTATATTTAGTTATATTGAAACTCGTGTATTTGCTGTAGGTCATTGATGCAACCGATCAGTGTGCCGGGGCACTTTCGAAAACCGCAGAATCGTGCTATGAGTGCTGCGCACTACGGAACATGTATTTATTACAGCTAATTTAAAATAAATCTTTGTTAAAGTTAAATTAATTATGCTTATGCACGACAGATGGTGTCATCTACTGATCTGATAAATTTTAAGTCAAATTAATTTTAAATACTTTAAATTAATATATAGTAATAATTGTAAAGTTGATATTCCGTTGTGACATAAAACAAAATTAATTTATGATAAATATTACGTACCTACACTTTTAATGTAGTATTTTTTTTAACCAAATTACATTAGCAGCTGCAATAAGAATAATAGTTATTTAGATAATCTAGATACCTATAACTTGAATACTTCGTCCAGAACTTGATAGATTAGGAAAGTTTTTTAAATTCTCAAAAATTATATTTTTCATATCTCATAAAATTGCATGTTTCTTCTGTTGATACCAAATTTTATAATTAATAGGTTGGTTAAATTTTATCTCTGCATTACATGCTTCTGATGACAAATTTTCTCTGTGAATATAAACTGAAGAAGTCTGTTGTTACTTAGTAAAGAATTTCGATTAATTCTGTTGTTGTTTAGTAATGAGTTAACTGTACAATTATAGTTATGCATGAAAAATGTGAAGTCAGCCAAATTTGATCAGCATCTCTTCTGGAAGCACCTCGAAATTCTTATGTAGTTTGATAATAATTAAAACAATCTTTCATACTAAATTAAAACATTAAAAGCAATGCATTGGGATTATGGAAGCAAGCAAAATTTATCTACATTTCATCTAGAAGTAAAAAGTCGGTGTAAGGAACTAATTATTACTGAATATTGTGTATGCAAAAGTAAAATTTTCATGCATAAATAGTTTTCGGAAAATAAGTAAAAAATTGCTAAATACCTATAATTCAAAAAGGTGATTGATTGTTCATCTGTTTAATTTAGTGGTTTGCAAAGTGTGAGGCATGATCCATTTATGGGTCATTAAGAAATTTTTATGAATAATATAAATTAATTACTAAGCATGCTTTGAAATTTCCGTAGTTCATTCAATCTTGAATGACTTTATTTACCTTTGTATTATTAGCGTCACTAATTAAATTATCTTCTTTGCTTCAGAATGGAGTAATAATCTATTAATATTCATGCAGAATAAGGATTTAACTGAAGAATAAGTAACAATGGTAAATTACCTCCTGCACTGCCCTAAATTCTGATTAAAATTAAAAAAATATTCTTAATGTTACAGACAGGCAGAATTGTAAAACTATATAAATCCATCGTTCCTCCTTCCCCCCAGTATCAAAATGTCACACTGAAATTTTTTTTGTATTCTTACCTGATCATCAGCCATCCATATCATGCAATATCTAGAAAATTAATTAGTTTTTATGACTATGAGTGGACGGAATTTGCATTCAAGCAGCAGTTTCTCCAAATCAAACAAGATGTAATTTAAATTTAGTATTCACTATTATTCTTAATTAATATATATTTTGAAATTTTGTTTAAATTCTCATCACTAATTTTGTTCAAATTCTCATCACTAACATTATATACGAAGCAAATTTGTTGAACGGTCAAAGTAATACATGGCTTTAAACAATTTTAAACAAATATTTATTGATAATTTGGATTTTTCAGAAAAGAACTTATTTGGACATAAATATATAAAACATTACATCTTTGGTGATTCCATTTCATGCAATATTAAATGACAATTATACAATTTAAAATACAGTCAACATTTATAAAATTGCGGTTTTTAGAATAGAAATAGCAATCAGTGACACAAGTACATTCATAAATTTCTTGCTCTTAGAACAGAAATAGAAATCTGCATAGAAATAGTAATCAGTGACACAAGTACATTTGGCTATATTCAGTTCATCATCAGAAATAAAACTCGAAATCACAGTTTAACTTTCTTGATAGCTGCTCTTCCACTGCAAATTGTGGCTCTTAGAATAGAAATAGCAATCAGTGACACAAGTACATTCATAAAATTGTTGCTCTTAGAACAGAAGCAGAAATCTGCATACAAATAGTAATTAGTGACACAAGTACATTTGCCTATATTCAGTTCATCATCAAAAATAAAACTCAAAAACGCAGCTTAACTTTCTTGATAGTTGCTCTTCCACTTCCACCTAAAATTAGAAATACCTTTTGAATAAAAATTGCATTCTGAACATTAAACAACATTTTGTGCTATTTCATTATTAACAGTGTTAGAATAAAAGGAATACTACTCAATTTATCTACAAAGTTTTAGGAATAGGTTGTTTTAAAATTGAAAGTTTGAAGACTGAAATTACAGAACATCTGGTATATTTGTACAGAATTTTGAAAACATTACTTGATTAATCAATACTACTACTAAATTTCTTTTGGAATAGTGTAGTTTGTGGTTATGGTTTTCTTATTAAGTATTGTCAGTGCTATTACAATAATGACATTTGAGGTGAAGCCTCACTCTAGCTTGCAGGCACTAATAGTAATAAAACATTTTACTACTTTTCTCTGCCAGAAGCTGTTTTGATGACAGTGGAATCGTCGGCTCAGGAAAACATTTTGTTTGCAGTGTAGGTACCCGCACAACTTGGCGCTACCCCGGAGTATATATAGATGCCGATTTTCGATTATTTGAAGCTTCGAATATAAGTAAGAATCCTAATAAATAATTCCAGATGATAGGCATATATGAAGCAAAGATAGGCATAATCTTACGGATAGTCGGTGATGAAAAAAATATGAGAGACGACAGAGACCAGAGTGCTACGGCTGTAGCCGATCGACCAATCCACGCAGAGAAAAGTGTGTGTAAGTACAGAACGGTACCGTGCAAAGCAAAGAAATGATAGTAATTGCGATAATGTATGACATACATATATACATAAATAAATCTATTTGACGACATTATACAAAGCAAAAAACAAGATCTGGGAAATAAATACATAAAATACAAATAAGTGTATACAAAGTGTACATAGTAAGTGATAAGTACATGAACATAGGCATAAGGTATGAAGTATGCATAATAATAATTGAGACATATGAGGTATTCATAGAAAAAGATAATACATATATATTTATTAATTTTTTTCCATATATATATTTTTTTGACTTAATTCTCATTCACATGATGTTAATATTCATTAATTTAGATGTCTAAGTACCGCAAGCGGTCGCTTTCTGTTTGCCCTGTCATTATAGTCATAATTCAACATCTGGATAGTGGGGTTTTGAGTTAATGTCATTTTACTACAGAATCTTTGGCAAGAATTGCTATGTAGACATGAATTTCTGGTATTTTGAATTCTCTGTGGATTGCCGAGTTCCTAATAAACCATGGAAAATCCAAAGCTTGTCTTAGCACAACATTCTGCAGTACTTGCAGTCTTTTGATTGCAGTATCATTAGCATACCCTCAGACAGTGCAGGCATAAGTAATTATGGAATGTAGCATGGTTTTGTAAATGAGTAATTTGTTATCAATAGATAAAACGCTGTTTCGAGCAATTAAGGGGGTGAGTGTATGTTTATGCACTCAGAACTTGGTAATACGTTGTGTGATATGTGCAGTCCATGATAAGCATTGGTCGAGAAGAATACCAAGGTAGCGGGCCTGCTTGGTCCATGCGATTGGGGTGCTATGCATATTAACATGGATGCTGTAGTCTATGTTCTTCTTTCTTGTGAAGAGTATAGCATCAGATTTCTCCACATTTATCTTAATTTTCCATGCTAGGAGTCAGGACTCCAGTCAGTCGATGATAATGAGTGAGCTTTGGTAATTCTGTAGTGCTTGAATGACTGCACCGTGAAATTCATTTTGAAATAGAATTGCTGTGTCATCAGCATACATAGCTAGGGTGGTATGTGGTGTTTGTGGGATGTCGTTCGTGTAAAGAGTGAAGTAGAGGGTGTCCAAGAGGGACCCCTGTTGGACCCCAGCCCTAATGGGCCTCGGGGAGGAGATTGTTGACACGAACGACAAAGTGTCGATCCGTAAGATAAGAGTATGCGATGCATGTGATGTAATCTGTGAAACCCAGGTTTATGATTTTGTGTATGAGGCCCTCCAGCCAGACACAATGAAAGGCCTTTGGAATGTCCAGGAAGATGGCACCTGTAATTGATTTATCCTGAAGCCCTTGAGACATAATTTCAGTAACTCTATACAACTGATGTACTGTTGAATGCTTTTTCCTGAAACCATGTTGTTTCAGGAAAAAGCATTCGACAAGATAGAAATAATCCATTTAATTGTATTATTTCCATCTCCAAGTTTAACCACTTGCGCTACGACTAAACTTCACAGTTGTGGTGCCGTGTTCAGCAATCATTAAGTTGTTGTTAACATGCTTGAGTAGCCTCTGCTACATGACATATTCTGCAACCTTTCTAGTAGAAGAGAGCAGGCTAATTCGTCTGTATGAGGCAGGATCTGTTGGTGGTTTGCCGGATTTCAAGATGGATAAGATTACTGCAGTTTCCCAGGGCTTGGGAAAGTGGCCTAGGTAGAGCATATCATTGATAGTTCTAACAAGCTTAAGTGTCATCAAGATTTCCATGTGCTTTAGCATCTTATTGCTGACAAGATCCAGTCCCATTTCTTGATTTTGAGCTTAAAGATATAGACATCTGATGGCCTGTCAGGAGGAATTTTTTTTTTGGTGTGGTTTTTAGAGGAAGTTTGTAAGTGATTGAGGAAGTTTGTAAGTGACAACAAGGTGTTCTATATGTGAGTGAGTTATGTTGTTTATTCAGAACTGAGTAGTATAGTTATCAGCAATCCAGAACTGTAACTCGAAAAATAAACAATCTCGTTGTTAGGCGACGTGTGCACCATGTTATTTTCATTTCTGCGCGCTTTTTGAGATAAAAGCATCTCGACGTGCGTGGCACATCTTTTTAATGCAAGTGGTTAAATAAATGTTTAAATTCTAATAGATTATGGTTTGCTACTCTTGAAAGAATATTTACAACGGCTTCTCCTGTTACATTTAGTGGGAGTTGGTGAATGGTACCTTTTGGTGTGCACTTTTTTGGGATTCTAGTATGTATGTTGAGATTATATATATGTCGTCTGCATGTTCAGATTGCTGGAGTTATTTAATTCTTCAAGATCTTGCAGTGTACCGCATTTCTTTTTTTTTTTTTATGGTGAAAAGTGGAAACTTAAATTTCCACTTTTTCAATCGGTAGTATGGTTTGCAGTTTATCATGTAGTTTGGAAATGTGTTGTATGTCATTCGCATATAGATTAGGAGTACAGGATCATTTTGTGTTGATATTAATGCCTGGGCATATGTACATCGGTGTTGTACTTCTTCGTTATCCTGATTTGCAGTAATGTTTGATCTATTTTTCGCTACATTTGGAAGGTGGTGATGAGTACTTTGGATGGTGCACTGTTCCATTATTGGTGTAGAAATAGGGATTTGCTGTCTTTCTTGTGGTGCAGGTATCATGCAACGGGTAGAGTTGATATTATCGCGAAGTTGTTTCGTTTTTTCGCCAAGTTGTATCATTTATGTATCAACCTGAATAGTTGAATTTTATGGAAACCCTATTATGACGTAATCATTTGCATTATTCTGGGAAATTTTGAATCATGGGATGTTTTGCAAAGGCTTTTGTGGTGTGTATTGCTTAGGAAGTACATTGCTTGTTTAATTGTTTAGACGGTACAATAACTGAATGTAGTAGAATTAATTTGAAGTTTCTGTACGATTTGGAACAAAAGGTAAAAGTGCAATAATTGAGTGAATTAATTGTGTAAATGAAGGTTTACTTAGTAGCCATAGTCCGGAACTATGTAGTATATTTTTTGACTTTTATTTTTGTGAATTTCTGTGTACGGATTGTAGTTCAGATAATTTTAGGAAGTTTTTGATGCTGTTAAGGAATTTTGTGAGCCACAGACTGAGGACGAATGAATTTCTAAATAAGGTAAGGGAATTTTTGCTTTGTGTAGTGCTAAAATACATAAAAGGTTTTTCCTTTTTTGTGTTATTTTATTGTTTGGTTTAAAATGTAGCTTATTGACATTATGTATTTTTTATTTGCCTGTACTGTAGAATTGGGTGCTCACTTTTTACGTGAAAATATATCGATGTGTACATGGACAAACTCAAGGGAGTGCGTAAAATTCAGTGATTTTTTTTAAGTGAAAATACGTTGATGTGTACATGGATACCGAGTTTGTGCAATTCTTTGACTTGTTATTTTGGTTTGCGTAGCAGAAATTTTTAGGGCCAAAATCGCCGCTACACAGGCCAAAATAACAAGTCAAAGCATTGCACAAACTCGGTATACATGTACCGCCAAAAATCGCCACGTTTTGCCAAGGGGTACCCTAAAATATACTTTTACCTCATGCAACTTGCTGAGCTGGAATTCTGTTCGAGTTCTTGTGGGGCTGAAGTGATAGAGTCACTGGTTGTAGAAATAGTCATTTGATATAGAGCTGTGAGTAAATCCTGTAGTTGTCTTATGACTGTGGGTAGTGCATGAATGCATGATAAGACCTTGCTCAAATATTTTTCGAATTGATTCAACTTACTACAAAAAGAATGATGCAGAGATTATTGGAGATATCAGAGAAATAGCAGCTTTTCTGAATTAAGATGGCTTTTATCATTCATGAAAAAAAATAATAAAAGTTTTATTAAAAAAATATATTTAACTTACATATGCAGTATATAAAAAAAGAGTATTAATCTCAAAAGCAGGGCTGTATGCAAGGAGAGAGAGGTTCAGGAATGTACAGAATTTATTTAGAAAAACTTATTGAAAATAAGTATTTTTATAATTTTGTATCTCCCCCTCCCCCCAAAAAATATACAGTGAAAAGTCATTAATCTGGACTCGTCGGGACTTCGGCGATTCCGGATTATCGATTTTTCCAGATTATAGATCATCAGTTTAAATCTGGTTAGATGGCATACAGAAATTATAAAATAAAAAATATGAAACCTTAATTTATGAAATAAAGAACAATTATTATCTAAAGGGTATCAAAATTTACAAAAAGAAAAAGCTTAATGTTTATTTGTTTACTTTATTAAACATTTCTTTCAATGTAAGTTGTTTAAGTTGCTTTGTTTTATGTGATAATACTTTCTCTTTAATTCTATTAAACAGACATAATTTCTTGTTTAGTTACAAAGTTCCGCTGTTCAAGTCCTATAATTATATGCCATACATTGTCTCACATTCCTGATATTCTAAATCATAGGAAAAATATGGCTCCATTTTGTTTAGTCTTAACTTGGTTCATAAACGTATTTATAAAATGAGGAATTATTTCTAGAATTCAGGGTTATACTGTGAAAACTGAGACATATGGTTATTTTACAGCAGATGCATTTTATCAACTTTAAAAAGGAACTTTAAAATCTCACCAAATAATATTGAAAATCTGAGTTGGGAAAAACAGCCAAATTCTCATTCAACCAGGACGGTTATAGCGGGCCGTATTGAGGGAGTGTTAAATGTAAGACGCTGAGCTACTAAGTTATCTCTGGGAACATCTAATTTCTCCTTCACACCATTCTGGAAAGAGATTCAGTTTCAGGGTAGGTCTTCCGGAAGAAAAGAATCAATGGCGAAACAATTTTTCTTCTCTAACATATTGATGATGACTGTGGAACTAAACTATTTGATCTGTCCCTGACTGAAAATTAACAGTTTGTTCGCAGCTTCATTTAGTACCTTATTTATGTTGCTGGTAAAGGTCTGGAATTTGCTGTTTCATAAAATACTATATGTCATGAATTACCTTAATGAATCAGTTAAAGTATATAAAATTATCGGATTCTGCGATATAGCTAGTTATTTTATAGCATAATGATGGCTTAATCGTTATGAAATATTAGTAAATATCTTTGTTATTCTATTAGAAAATGCCTGATCATTAGCAAAGATGGCACGCGTAAGCTGCTTTATTGAAAGCAGGACTAAGTAGCTTAAATATTGGTATAAGCTGTAAAAATATAAATATAAACTTGGTGCAGTATAGTCTGTTATTTTTTATTGATGTTTAATTATATTTATTATTAGTCCAAAGGGGCTTGTTCCTGAAGGACTATTGTTTTCATTTTGCGATTTTGCATCGAATAACTCTGCATGCCGTTTCACTTTTCAAACTGTTGTCTTGAAATCTGCATAAATGTATGTATGTATGTATGTATGTATATGTATGTATGTATGTTCCTCACATTGTGATAAAACAACAGTATCTAGAGGCATCAAATTTTGAATAATGTAATCCTCCACCAAATATGGCCATCTGTAAGCTCTGGAATTTGTTTTATTATCCATTTCATATTTTGTTAGACATTAAAGAATTTTTGATTAACAAACTAAATGACTTAGACCATGTATCGGAAATTCTAAAGATATGGTCATTTTAAAATTATTTTGCGATATTTCTGTTGAATTTTGTGGTTTAAGTGCGAAGAGCATGATATTTAACAAATAAAGGTAACAAAGAAAATATTTAAAAAAGGCCCCTTTAGACGTAATTTGAAATCTGAAACCTTTCAGATTTTCTTTTTATGTATTCTATTTTATTTTTTACTTTAACAATCTATCTTTACTTAATCTACAGAATAACTATTTATTATATAGAACAATTAGTAAACTGTGAAATTATTAATCTATTGGTTTTTTTTTTTTTTTTTTTGTTTTTGTTGTGACTTATCTGCCTTGTGTGCTCAGGCAAACTCTATGAGTTGATCGCTAATCGGGTCCCCACGTTATGACGCTATCCCAGCATAATTCTTCCGATTTTCGATTTTGTGAAGTTGCGAGTACTTGATCATAAAATTCGAAAACAAGTGGTAAGTTCAGAACCATGGAAAGCTGGGAGAGTATGATGTACGAGTCCAAAACAAACACAGATAAGTAAAGTAGAGTGTACAGGAGTATTTTACTATACGGAAATTCACTAAGGCAGATAGGACCAGACACGGTCGTTTGACAGAGCTTTTATCTGCTGAAAGGGAGGAGAGATAGTTGGCTCAGTCACGTTGTGTGTGTTGGTGTGTGCGAGCCCTGACCTGGTGGTTGAGACGGTTAAGTACAGTCTTGTCTGCAGGAAACCTGTACCTTGTATGACAGTAACATCAAAGCAAGCCCACAAAATTCATTGTGGCATGGAGTGCAAGATTGCGCTTGTCGTTGGCAAGAGCCGTCTGCACGCTACTGTTGAAAGTACGACTTTACTCAATTCCGCTCTGAATTTTGAAGGAGGGCATCCTGAGGGGGAACAGATCCGAATATCTCCAACCACTTCCCCTCTGCAACCAACCTCTCAAGAGGCCTTTCGGCTTGCCGTAAACTTAGAGTGCTCCCATGCTGCACAAACACGAACAATGGGCTCTTCGATACGGCAGTCAGCTTCACTAACCACTATCCTGGTTGGGATGACTTATTAATCTATTATACACTTTAATCGACTTAATGAAATAATTGAATTTATGCTTTAATGATAATATATATTGCATCACTAATAACATCAACTGGTAACTCAGGATTCATGTTGCGAAACTTAGCTGAAAATATTTTAGTCATATTTCATGCTTTAAAATTTTACCCGTTTATTGTGGAATATTTTCAGTTATAAAGCATTATTAAGTTATAAATTATTATTAAAGTGTCAATTCTTAATGATTGATGGAACAAATCCCAACAAGTAGATTTTGTAGCTATGACCTCATTTTTATACAAAGCGAATGAAATACGAATGTGTCGCTTTGTCATGTCATGAGTTATCATGTTTTTATGAAGCCAGAGACATGAAAAATGAGCAATGCTCCCGCATTACACCACGAAGGTGTGCAGTAAGAAGGGAGAAAATTCTTTATAGCATTACGTAAATATTTGACTAAAGATAAAAGAGCATAAAATCAAAAGTATTAAATAATACATAATGATTCTTAGTAATTAAAAATAGAAGAGGATGTCAAAAAATTAATCAAATTTCGAGTTATTCTGAAAATGTTTTCTACAACGATATACTGGTTGGTTCAAAACTATATGTCAAAAATGTAAAGGTATGTAGAGAGGACTAAAAAAGTAGATTTCTTATAGGAGTGTGCTGTAATGCCACGCTAAGGCAGTAGAGAGAACCAGTGCAGCATATAAAAGCTAGCGCGGCTAGCTGGATTTTCCTCGATGTTACTCTAGCTTAATTCCCCCACCACCATTAATTTATTGTGTTTCACAGATTTTATGCTCTTTTTTTCCTTTTTTATTTCATTCTGCAAATACTGTGTTCTTTTACAATCCAGCAGAGAATAAGTGCATCGGCGATACTTTGTCAATTAGCACTGCTTATTTCATGTCTCTGAGTCCCATCGCATTTGTGCATTTTGTGCAAAATGTGTATGTTAGAGCACTTCAGGCTCTTTTTATGATGATTGTGAAATTAATTCAATTAATAATCTTACAAATATAATTTTTAGTAATTGTACGTGCAGTTTGGAATTCTGAGTTTCCAAGACATCACAAGGTGTACAAGAGTTTGCAAGATAATATATGAGACAGTACTTTGCAGTTTAGTCACACTTGATCAAACAAATTGTAGGCTGGTAAACAATCGCTGAGGAGTAATTTAGTCAGGTAATTTTTAAAAAATATTTTTTACCTTTTTTTACATTCATTCATATAATGATTTATGTGTATTGGAAATTTTTTTTTTTTTTTTTATTGTATGGAAAATTTATGCTGCAAAAATGAATTTAGAAATTTCGTGCATTGGTTACAATTGTCACCCTTCTGCAGAGATTGGTATATAAGCCAAACACATTTTGTCGAATGTCGAATTACATACAGCATTGGTGTAGAACAGTGTTTATTTAAACAGCGTTCCCATCATTAACTTTTGCTAACTTTTTTCGGATGCGAACGTGTTAAAAAATTTACTGTGCTATTATGTACGTAAATTATATCCTTATATGTTACATGAAGGTTATTAATTGAATACAAACTCAACCCAAATATGTATATTTTTTTTACTAACATTTCTAGTAATTTTATTTTTATAAGAAACAGTACCAGACTTTGATAATATAAGATGACTCATTTGTGCTCTAAATTTATAAAGCATGATGCATAATGCAGCACATAATTGCTACAGCGATAAGATCGCTTAACACTGATTGTTCGATCGGAGCTCAAATCCCAGCGAACAAGTTGGTTCAAAAAGAAATTTCGTGATTTTCTTTATGTATAGAGTAAATGAGAACCAGATTCCCTTAAAAGTCGTCCACGAAGACATCCCTTCTCTTAGACAGATAGCCCACATGTTTTTTATCATGATACAAGTAACCTAAGAAGAAAATGAGGGGAAAATGCAGCATATATTAGCTTTTCAAAGGATAGAACAATTATTAATGGATGTAGGAGTACATTTTTGAAATCATTTCTTGATATCTTTTGAAATTATCTCTGAGAGTTCTAAAATGTTAAATAACTTCAGTGCCTTTGTTGAATCTTAAAATTGGGTTGACTGAGTTGGATTT